AAATAAATACGATTTCCATAAATATTTTTTTCTTTTTTTTTTTGAACCAAATCAATTTTATTTTTGAGAACTCCAAATAAAGATTTCTGTCGAAAGCTATGTTTATCTTTTTTTCTTATTTTTTTTTTAATGCATTTGACCCAATTTTGTTTAATATTTCCAAATCATGTTTTTAATTAATATTTTAAAAACACATAATATCACACATATATTTTTGGCTAAACTTTAAAATTTCTCCTTTAACTTTTCAAAATATTCGACTGCATAATTTACCTAAACTCAGAATCCAGAAAATTACATTTTTTTCATCCATGACGTCACATGAACAATACATTTTTTTGCCCTACGAGACTCTAATCCATTGCTTGTGTGTGTGTGTGACTTATTTGCCTTTCGGCGAACTTAGTCTCCCACTTGCACTCATAAGTGCTCACACAGAGAATTCATATCTCATCCATTGTGGTTGGTACTTGGCATTTAGTGTGCGAACAGAGTTTGGAAATTGGAAATTGTAAATTTTTACAATTTATGGTGACACGTTTTTTAGTCGTAAACTTGGTTGGAAATGAAAAGTATCTCTGGAGATGAATATGTGGGTAGGGTGCACTCTAATTTCAAGTAAATTAAAATTAAATTTAATTGGAAGTACTATTTGAAAGTAGATTACGATTACCTTTCCGGAGTAAAACAAACATAGGAACGGAAATGTATTTTTTATTAAAAAACCAGTAAAGAAAGCCCTAAAGTTGGGCGGGGCCGACTTTATTATACCCTACACCACTTTGCTAATTTAGTAGAGCTCCGCATAACAATTAAAAGTTTTTATGGAAAAATTCAATCATACACGCTATGATCATAATTATAATATAAAGCTCAATAGACTAAATGTGCCGAAGTATTTGTATCTTTTAAATTCGGACTTATATTGCCTATTTGGTGCACAATTAATTTGAAATCAGATAACGATATATATGGGAGCTATATCCAAATCCGAACCTATCTCAATAAAATTTGGCAAAGATATTTCTGAGCTGTATTTCATATATTTCCCCAAATATTGTTGTTACGGAGTGCGTATTATGGTTGTGGGTAACAAATACAACAAATCGGATGAACAATATATATGGGAGCTATAGCTATATCTGAACCGATCTTCACCAAATTTGGCATACTAGCTTCTAGACTCAATTCGGTCGTATGTGCCAAATTCCATCCTATTAGTGCATATATTAGACATTTGGTGCACAATAAAAGCTAAATCGTACGAAGTTATATATAGGAGCTATATCCAAATCTGAACCGATCTCGATAAAATTTAGCAAAGGTATTTCTAAGCTGTATTTCATATATTTCCCCAAATATTGTTGTTGCATATTACGGCTGTGGGTAACAAATATAACAAATCGGATGAACAATAAAAATGGGAGCTATAGCTATATCTGAACCGATCTTCACCAAATTTGGCATACTAGCTTCTAGACTCAATTCGGTCGTATGTGCCAAATTTCATCCTATTTGGGCAAATATTAGACATTTGATGCACAATAAAAGGCAAATCGGACGAAGTTATATATGGGAGCTATATCCAAATCTGAACCGATCTCAATAAAATTTGGCAAATGTATTTCTGACCTGTATTTAATATATTTCCCCAAATATTGTTGTTACAGAGTGCATAATACGGCTGTGGGTAACAAATATAACAAATCGGATAAAAAATATATATGGGAGCTATAGCTATATCTGAACCAATTTCGATCAAATTTGGCATACATATTTTCAGGCCTAAATTAGTTGTATGTGCAAAATTCCATACTATTGGAGCTGATTTTACACGTCTGGTGCACAATAAAAGGCAAATCGGACGAAGATATATATGGAAGCTATATCTAAATTTTTGCCGATTATCTCCAATTTCTATAGGGTTCGTCCTTGGGCCAAACAAATGATTTATGCAAAATTTCATCTCAAGCGGATTATGGACAGACGGACAGACGGACGGACGGACAGACGGACTGACATGCATAAATCAACTCAGAAAGTGATTCTATGAAGATCCTTAAAAGTAATTATGGGTCTATCTCTCTTCCTTCTCCATGTTACAAACAAATGCACAAAGACATAATACCCTGACCACCTTGTGGTGTAGGGTGTAAAAATAGTGGTACATATACCATGGGCGGGATTCACGTTCTATGGAAATATGAAATTTAAATATTTGTTTTATAAAATGTATCATTTGATCTTTATTTTCTATATAAATATTTTCGTTTCCCCTTTTTGCATAGAACAAAAATTGGGCCTCAGGAATTACCGAATATTAGATGCTTCATTGTAAATTTTACATTGTCAGACAATGGGGCGTATACTTGTTACAGTAGCCATTAAGTTAATCATACGCACCCTCGCATCACAATGACCATATACTTGCATACAAGGAAAGGAAGTCGTACAGTATTTATAAATTAAGAAGGTCTTTACCGGTATTTCTGAAATTTGTTGAGAAGGTAGCTTAGAGCAAGTAGACGCATATATGGTACTATTTAATCTGTAAGTGTACTAAAAGTACTGAAAGAAACTAAAAATATAATCCTTTGTGCTTATTGATCAAACGAAGAGAGCTAGAATTCTGAAAATTAAGATGAAAGTGTAGATTAGATGCCCCAGAGGTTTTTCTTTTAAATTCAAAGTAAAAGTGATACTAAAAGTACCAAAAAGCACTATATTTGGTACCATTTGTTATTTTGTAAACATATAAAGTTAAAATGTCGACATTTGGTATAAGAACGACGTTGGGGAATTAGGGGTGTTGGGGAGGTACTTTTGAATGTGGACCAACTGTAAGAACTGTACTAAATGGTACTAAATTTGGCACAATTTGGATTTGGATGAAGCCAGAAATTAGAAATGTTAAAGGTGGTTTGTAGAAATATCTACTAAAGAGATCGAAAACAGCTAAATGGAAAATAATTTAGTATAGGGTGAGAAAAAAAAACTGCAAAAAGTCAAATGCCATAGTTTTTACATATTTTTTTTTTTTTTTTTTAATTTTATTGAGTGAAAGCAAAAATGTCGGAAATAGGAAATATCATTACATTTTAGAATAAGTTTAGATTTGTTCGAATTGGTCACCTTTGGTACGAATTATGGCCTTCAAACGGCCAATGAAAACGTCACGCGCTGCCCGAATGTTGCTCTGCGTTATTTTGGCAAATTTCCGCGAAGCGCTTATTTGAGGTGATCGATACTTTGGTCTTTGTTAGTGACAACCTTGCTTTCCGAAATACTCCAGACACAATAGTCCAACGGATTGGTATCCGGAGATTTCGGTGGCTATTTTGCACTGGAAATGAAGCGAGGAACCTCATTTTGTAACTATTCTTGGGTGGCGAGTGCGATGGTGCTTAGTCCTGTTGGAATGTCCAAGGTCTGCGGCCAAAATGTGTGAGTGCCCAAGGCTTTAATATACCCTCCAGAATATTTTTGCAATAACATTCGGCATTTATTCTGAGGCCACGGTCGATTAATACGAGCAGAGAGCGACCATCGACTGTTATGACAGCCCACGCCATGGCCGGCGCTTGAGTTGTAGTGGCAAACCGAAGCTACACCTTTTCAGCTGACCTCTTTGGCAAGTAAACACGATAATTTTGTTTTTTTTTTACAAACTGCTGGGCAGCGGATGTTTTCTCATCGGAGAAAACCAAATTCGGCAGTTCACAACTTTCAGCCAAGCGAAGCGAAGCAACTCTTTAGCTCTTTTTGTGTCTATTTTCTTTCTATAGCGGTATAAGTTCTTGCAATTTTTGGAATTCCAATGGCTTTATTCCGAGCTCATTTTTTCCATATTTGCCGAATGGAATATTGCAATATGTTCAGCTCTCGAGCCATTTTTCGGCCACTGCGACGCGGTTTTCGATCAAGTCGCTTCTTTACTTTTCGAAGCATTTCTGTTGATGTTGCTGTTTTCTTCCGTCCACTTCCTTAACGTCGAGCGATGGTACGAGACACAAAATATTTATTAGCATTTAAATGTTGGAATGTCAAATAAAAAGAAATCACACTATCACGCTTGGATTCCATCACGAATAACTTTTTTTCTGGAAAATTCTCGCCAAAATGCTTTTGTACGCTTGTAAACAATATAATGAGCTGTCACTGGAATAAATTTTAACAGCTGTCGGACAAGTGGCTTTGGAATGACAGCAGTCTGAAGTTGGTTGCAATTTTATCATCTCACTCTGTAGTGCAAAATCTCTAAGAACCCTATTACACACTCCATCAGAGGCACTCATTTCTCAAATACAAAGGGTACTATATTTAGTACCTTTTAATACTTTTCGTACCGTTTTATGATGAATTACCAAAAACCCAGCCTTATGTGACCCCTTCTGACTATGAGCGACCCTCGATTAAAATTTCAAGATTCTAGATTCAGCCGTTTCGTCTGGGCGTTAATGGATCGTTAAGTCGGTCAGACAGATCAGTCAATTAATTGACTCTTGAGATATTAAGATCCACAAGAAAATTTTTCTGAAAAAAAATATATTAAAAAAAAAAATAACAAATTAATGTGACTTGAATTTTTTTTCAAAATCTTACTGTTGATTTATTTTGAAAAACTATTTTTAACAAATATGACCTTGGTTTTCCCATGAAAAACATATTCTTAGAACCCCAGATATTCCTTCCATTATCAAAATGAATTGCTCTTTAATAATTTAATTTATTTTATTTAATTTTAAAGTATAAACAAAAGTTTTTGTTAAAACTGAAAGCATATTACATGGCAATAACAAAGTTCCGAAAATAATGTGCACACACACACACCCACACAAGTACACATTTCCGAGGAAACTTTGAAAATCCTTTGAGAAGATCCGAAAAGAAGGCAAACGCAGACTTTGTATTCAATATTTCATTAAATTTAATTTAATGTCACTCTGGTGTTGAATTTTTCGTTCACTTTTTTGTTCTTCCGTTTTCCTGATTCATTTCAGCTATCAACACCACCATGGCCAAGGAGCTGCATACACTCGGCTGGGATTATGTGATGTTTGCCTTGTTCATTGCGTTCACCGTATTCACACCGCTATGGAAACGCTTGTTTGGCAAACAAAAAGCTCGCAGCAAAGCGGATTATGTTTTTGCAACAGGCGGTGTTTCCATTGTGGCTGTAATGATATCAATTGCCCGAGGAACCCTAGGTGTGCGAACAGTGTTGGGTAAGTACCTCTTAAAGTTTTTTTTACGCTTTGCCTTGTTTTGTTTTTCCTACTACCTCTCATCGTCTTGTATTTGAGCTATTTTCATCCTTGAGGGCATTAAAACGTCTCTAAGCAGCAGGAATAACAGCGGCATAATCATCAAAAAAAAAAAAAAAAAATAAATAAATAAAAAAGTAAAAAAAACTGTAAGTTCGGCCGGGCCGAACTTTGAATACCCTCCACCATTTGGTACAAATTTAAAAATTTTCAAAAAAAAATCCCTTAAAAATTCTATTAAAATCTTAAAAATACCGAATGCCGAAAATGTCTCTAAAATCATCAAAATACCAAATATCGGGGGGTACCGTTATATGGGGGCTATACGAAGACGTGGACCTGCACAGACAATTTTCTGTCTTAGACTCTAGTATCCTTTACGAACTTTAAATGCGAAATTTGAAACATTTCCGGTAAAAAATTTCGCTAAAATTATCAAAAATACCGAATATCGGGAGGTACCGTTATATGGGGGCTATACGAAGACGTGGAGCTGCACAGACAATTTTCTGTCATAGGCTGTCGTATCCGTTACGAATCTCAAATACCAAATTTGAAACACTTCCGGTAAATAATGTCGCTAAAATCATCAAAATACCGAATATCGGGGGGTGAGGTCATATGGGGGCTATACGAAGACGTGGACCTACATGGACCTTTTTCTGTCTTACGCCGTAATATCTATAGCGAACTTTAAATATTAATTTTAAAACAATTCCGGTAAATAATGTCGCTAAAATCATCAAAATACCGAATATAGAGAGGTACCGTTATATTGGGGCTATACGAAGACGTGGACCTGCACTCACAATTCTCTGTCATAGGCTGTAGTATCCATTACGAATCTCAAATACCAAATTTGAAACGATTTCGGTAAATAATGTCGCTAAAATCATCAAAATACCGAATATAGGGAGGTACCGTTATATGGGGGCTATACGAAGACGTGGACCTGCACTCACAATTTTCTGTCATAGGCTGTAGCATCCATTACGAACATCAAGTAGAAAATTTGAAACAATTCCGGTAAATAATGTCGCTAAAATCATCAAAATACCGAATATCGGAAGGTACCGTTATATGGGGGCTATACGAAGTCGTGGAGCTGCACAGACAATTTTCTGTCATAGGCTGTAGTAGTCATTATGAACTTCAAATGCGAAATTTGAAATAGTTTCGGAAAATAATGTCGCTAAAATCACCAAAATACTGCATATCGGGAGGTACCTTTATATGGGGGCTATACGAAGACGTGGACCTGTACTCACAATTTTCTGTCATAGGCTGTAGCATCCATTACGAACTTCAAATACTAAATTTGAAATAGTTTCGGAAAATAATGTCGCTAAAATCACCAAAATACCGCATATCGGGAGGTACCTTTATATGGGGGCTATACGAAGACGTGGACCTGCACTCACAATTTTCTGTCATAGGCTGTAGCATCCATTACGAACATCAAGTAGAAAATTTGAAACAATTCCGGTAAATAATGTCTCTAAAATCATCAAAATACCGCATATCGGGAGGTACCGTTATATGGGGGCTATACGAAGACGTGGACCTGCACAGACAATTTTCTGTCATAGGCTGTTGCATCCTTTACGAACTTCAAATACTACATTTGAAACAATTCCGGTAAATAATGTCGCTAAAATCAACAAAATACCGAATATATGGGGGCTATACGAAGACGTGGACCTATATGGCTCATTTTCTGTTCTAGGATGTAGTATTCATTACGAACTTCAAATACCAAAATTGAGACAATTCCGGTAAATAATATCGCTAAAATCATCAAATTACCGAATATCAGGAGGTACCGTTACATGGGGGCTATATGAAGACGTGGACCTGCACTCACAATTTTCTGTCATAGGCTGTAGAATCCATTGCGAACTTCAAATGCGAAATTTGAAATAGTTTGGGTAAATAATGTCGCTAAAATCATCAAAATACCGAATATAGGGAGGTACCGTTATATGGGGGCTATATGAAGACGTGGACCTATATGATCCATTTTCTGTCTTAAGCCGTAGCATCTATTACGAACTTAAATATTAATTTTGAAACAATTCCGGTAAATAATGTCGCTAAAATCATCAAAATACCGAATATCGGAAGGTACCGTTATATGGGGACTATATGAAGACGTGGACCTTCATGGGCCATTTTCAATACCAAAAGTCCTGCAGACATAATACACATATGAGTAAAATTTTATCAACCTACTTCATTTCGTTCGGAAGCTAGAGTGATTTCCACAGACGGACAGACGGATAGACGGACGGACATCACTAAATCGACATAGAATTTTATGCTGATCAAGGATATATATACGTTGTGGGGTCTAAAATGTATATTTCGAGGTGTTACAAACGGAATGACAAACTTAATATACCCTCCATACCATGGTGGAGGGTATAACAAAAACAAATGCAAAAGAAAAGTTACATGTTCTTCGTTACGCAGTCCAGCGAGAAAAGCGTTGAAAACCTGGCGGAAAAAAGTTTGTTTTGCTTGAAAGTTTCTTGTTGTTTTGTGTTGTTGTTGTTGTTTACGCTTATCCCTGCTAGCACACCCTCCCTCAATATGGAAACAAATTCTCCAACAAGACTAGCTCTTGTTCCAACAAATGAATGTATGTACCAACGTGACACACACATACACATACACACCCACACATTGAATGGTATTCCCAAAACACATGTTGTATAGGTCAGATTTCGTTGAAGGAACAAACCAAACCAAAAAAAAATGGCAAAACTTTTCCTTGTTTCCACTTTGTTTGACCTTTTTTGACATCGCTTTGCTTTCAACGCATTTTCCCAGCCATCCAACCAACACAGCAATGGCCAGCTACGCCTGTATGTAGGCACTCTCCGGCAAATCATCGAAGATGCATTTTTTTTTTCGATTACCTTTAGGTTTTATTCGTTTGGCAGCTAAATTTTTTGAGTTTGAAACAAATGAAAAAAAAAAAACAACAAAGGCCATAAAATAAGTTGAGAAGTAGATTTTACAGCGTCCGATTTTTTTTTTTTTTTTTTTTTTTTTTTGGATTAATTATTGTCAAACTTATTTCATGTTGAGGCATATTTTTGACATGACCAGCCTCAAATGAAAATTAATTGGAATATTTTTATCGCATTAAATGAATTTCGATACTGTTTATGACAGAGTAATAACACGTAGAATTTTTCAATAAAAAAGGAAAGCCATTAAAAGACTAGATCACACTTACCACTATGCGAAGCATTTTGCCAAAGGCATATTTGGTGTGGATGGCCAAGATTTCCTAATAATCACAAAACTTATAAAAAAAAATCTTAAAAACTTCAAAAATGTCTAAAAATGCCTTCTCTCCAAAAAAATGTTTTAAATTACCGACTTTAATTTTCTGATTCCGCCATCTTCATTAAAACATAAAATAATTGTGAAAAATGTACTATTTTCAAGCGATTATTAAAAAAACCTGAACTCAACTAATTTTTAAGAATCCTCGACCCTGTAATAAAATTTAGAACATTTCAAAATTTATTTGGAATCTAAAATTTTGATTGACTTTTGATTTTTTTAGATTCAAATTCAAACAGTCAACACTATATGAAAACCAGTAAGGAAATGTCAAAAGTCGGGCGGGGGCGACAATATGATACCCTACATACCCTATGTTCATTTAGTAGAGCTCACGTAACAAAAAAGTATATATTCCGAATGTATATGAAGATCATATCAACTATGAACCAAATAACATTGACGCATAGTGAAGGATATGACCTCGATAAGAATTATATTGAAAAATATTTATTACAGCAATAGACATACCGGACCGAGCTTCACCAAATGCTAAAAATCGTCTGAATATGAAATAATGTATTCAATTTGGGCTGATATTGCATATATGGTGAGCGATTATCATGGAATCGGATGAAGATGTATATCGAAGCTATAAAAAATTATGAACCGATCTCGATCAAATTTGGCAGAAGTATTTTAGAGTAGTATCTGATGCCCTGAACCAATTTCAATAAACTTTGGCAGAGGTAAATTTAAACACTTCTTTCTGAGCTGCATCAGATCATTGCTGTGGAGGGCATATTATGCATGTGACGGACTAAAAACCCCAAATCGGACGAAACATATCTATATGAGAGCTATAGCTATATTTTGAACCGATATTAACCAAAAGTTGTATGTACTTGCTCCTAGACTGAATTCGGTCAGATGTGCCAACATTCAGGTCATTTGGTGCACAATTAACCCGAAATCGGTTGATATTTCTGTGAGCTATATCTAAATTAAAACCGATTCTGGCCAATTTCAATTTCTTGGGCCAAGCAAATATTGTTTGGAAAATTTCATTTCAGTCATTTAATAAATGCGACCTGCATTTTGTTCACAAAAATATATTGGCAGGACATACGGACTGACATGCATAAAATAAATATGGGTCTAGCTCGCTTTCTTCTCAATGTAGGATATAAAAAAATATTTTTTGTAATCTAAAAATTTCAATTAAATCAAATAAATATTTAAAATGGCTAGCTTCTATGGCTTTTCAAAAAAAAGCACGGCCTTGCAAATAACATTTCAGTCCTCTATCATGAAAATATATAACCTACAAAAATGATCTACAAAAATTTAGAAATAGATTTTTATTAGAAAAGATTTTTATAAAAATTATTTTTTTAGAAAAGTGATTTAGAATACTGGAAATCTGTTTATATTTGTTTAGCATACCCTTAAATTATATAAAAAATCATTGATTAAAAAAAATTAAAATTCGACGAAAAATGGTCCAGAGGCTACATTAGGTCGGGCCGATAATGTGATATTCCACAACATTCTAAAAAGTTCATGGCTTTTCAAAAAAAAAATAAATAAATAAAATCCATGGATTTGGAATATAAAAAATTTAAAGCCACTATGATGAAAAGACATTATTTAAAATACACGACCTACAAAAAATTTAGAATCTACGACTTTTAAATAAGTTATATTTCAGGCCATTTTAACATTTATTTAGAATCCTCGACATACAGGGTGAAATAAAAAAACTGCAACAAAGAGAAACGCGATAATTTTTACTTTTTTTAATTTTATTGAATGAAAGCAAAAAATGTCGGAAATAGCATCAAATTTTAGAATAAGTTTAGATTTGTTCAAATTGGTCACCATTGGCACGAACTATGGCCTTCAAACGGCCAATGGCACCGTCACACGCTGCCCGAATGTTGCTCTGCGGTGTTTTGGCCCATTCCCGGCGAAGCGCTTGTTTGAGGTAATCGACACTTTGGTATTTTTTAGTACCAACCTTGCTTTCCAAAATAATCCATACACAAGAGTCCAACGGTTTGGTATCCGGAGATTTTAGCGGCCAAGCAAGGAACCTCATTTTGTAACCATTATTGGGTGACGCGTGCTGAGTCCTGTTGGAATGTCCAAGGTCTGTGACCAAACGTTTAGGAGCCCAAGGCTTCAATGCACCCTCCAGAATATTTTCGGGATAATATTCGGCATTTATTCTGATGCCACGGTCGATTAAAACGAGCGGAGAGCGACCATCGGCTGTTATGGCGGCCCACACCATCACCTTGGCCGACGCTTGAGTTCTCGTGGCCAAACGAAGGTGCACATTTTCAGCTGACCTCTTTGGAAAGTAAACACGATCATTTTGTTTGTTTACAAACTGCTGGACAACGAATGTTTTCTCATCGCAGAAAACCAAATTCGGCAGTTCACCACTTTCGACCAAGCGAAGAAACTCTTTGGCTCTTTTGAGTCTATTTTCTTTCTGTTGCGGTGTAAGTTCTTTCACTTTTTGGAATTGCAATGGCTTTACCCGAGCTTAATATTTAATCAATATTTGCCGAATGAAATATTCTGTTATGTTCAGCTCACGAGCCATTTTTCGGCCACTGCAGGTTTCGATCAAGTCGCTTCCTTACTTTTCAAACCATTTCTTCTGATGTTGCTGTTTTCTTCCATCCACTTCCTTGACGTCGGGCTACGCTACCAGTATCACGGTAACGAGCGATGGTACGAGACAGAAACGATCCATTCACATTTAAATGCTGTAGTGCTCTAACGATAGCTACTTGTGGTTTTCCAGCCAAATATAAAGAAGTGACACTATCACGCTTGAATTCCATCACGAATAACTGTTTTTCTGGAAAATTCTCACCAAAAAGCTGTTGTACCCTTGTAAACAATATAATGAGCTGTCACTGGAATAATTTTAACAGCTGTCGGACGTGTGGCTTAGAAATGACAGCAGTCTGAAGTTGGTTGCAGTTTTTTCATCCCATCCAAGGGGTAAAGTGCTCAGAAGGAACTTCTTGTGTGGATTCTCCGACAACTTCATTGGAAAATGTGCCTAAAATCATCAAAATACCGAAAATCGTGGGGGGGGGGGGGTTACCGACTATCGGCGAGTATCATATCTGACATACCCCATCTTCGAACTGCAGGTAAAATGCTTATCAACAATATATACTTATATACGTTCAAGACTATTAATCCCAAAATTTTCCAAAGTAAAGTCTCCCTTAAAATTTTATTTTCGGTTCAAGAGTTCGCGTTAGGTTTTTTTCATACTCAAAATACATATAATTTGTTCAATTCGACATACATTTTCAACCAAAACTTCATCGTACGATATTTTTAGACTTTCCAGGTTTTAAACATCATCCGGGTTTTTTTCTTTATTTCATTTTATTTCATGTCAAGAACTATTTCAACGTCTTCATAGAAGCCCACAGTGACCTCAGTATCAAAGTTCAGAATTTCAGCTATATCACTTCACCAAATACCAAAATTTAGTGACATTTAATGTATTTTTTGTAACCTTAAGATTCGAATTTCCAAAAACCCTACATAAATCATGTATCCCATCGGTGACTCCGATTTGAGAGTTCTACTACTTCTTCATATACAAAGGACCATACAGTTCTAGTACGAATTTCTCAAAACCGCACCTTATCTGACCAAAAGTGACCCTCACCCAAAATTTTAAGAAGCCGTTTCGTCTGGGCGTTGGTGAATCGTAATGTCAGCCAGCCAATTATTTTACTCTTTTATTAATATAGATATCTCAATTTCGACACTTGCAAGTTATTAACTCCCAATTTCCCTTTTTCTTCTCCTTCCAGGTTATCCCAGTGAACTGTTCTATCGCGGCTCAGCCATGTGGGAAATTATCTATGGCATGGCCAGTGCCTATCCCTTGGTCTGTTTCATATTTGTGCCAGTCTATTTTAATTTGGGCATTACTTCGGTTTATCAATATTTAGATTTAAGGTAAGTTTCGAAAATAATTAAATGCCACTAAGAACAACAATATAAATCCACTATGCAACAGAAACAATCAACAATAAATAATTACAAAATTCATTAACATTTAGCAGAAGGAGCAGCGAAAAAAAAAACAGCTCTGTAATGGAAAAGTGACCAAACAACGAGAGAGCTATAAGAGATGACAAACGGCGAATCTTAATTATGTTTTCATTTGTTTTAAGTGAGCGATGGGAAATTGAAAAAGAAATGGGTGAGAGAGAGAGAGAGGGAAGGAGAGAGAGGGATGGAGAGAAGAGAAAGTTACAAAGACGTGGCCAAGGATTTTTTTAGCTTAGAGTAAAATATTTACAAATTGCTCTGCCCTCTTGGCCACGTCCTTGCTCTGGGACATTCATGGTTTGAATTAAATTTAAATTTTCTTCGTCAATCTTCGAAGTCAAGTGACAACAGCAAAAACAACAACAGCACAAAAAAAGAGAAAACAAAAAGAGCAATAAAGTTACAAAAGTAATTATAGTAAAGAAGGGATTTAGTTAGTTAGTCAGAGTGCCGGTGCCAGAGCCATGCAAGGCACTGACCCGTTTTATTTATATGTATGTGTGTGTGTGAGTGCTTCTTAGTTTTGCTTCTTTGTTGCGTTGACCATCATTTACGCAGTTTCCAGTATTTACATGAAGTTTGTTTGCGTTCCTTTTTTTTCCTCTCTCTCTCTCTCTTTCTCTCTCGCTCTTCTCTTTATTTATGCAAACAATTCTAAACACAAGTTTTCTTTCGCCAAATCCATTTTTGCTAACTTCGGGCTGCATGTTTCCGACAACATTAACAAATTAAAAGTTTCGAAGGGAAAGCGAGGAACAAGGGGAGGGAGCTAATGTGAATATATTTAAAAAATTCGAAAACATTTTCGGAAATACAAAGTTTTTGGGCTAATGTTGTTTTCATTTAGAAGACATGGTTAAAGACTAGGAGACTAAGGACAGCCTCGAACTTCAAAATCACTTAACTGTTAGGATATTTAGACTGAACATAAATACTAATACCTGAATCAATATCTTAAAAGAGTAAAATTATTAACTGACTAAGGATTCGTCAACACCCAGGCGAAACGGCTAAAGCTAGAATCTTGATATCACTCTTGGTCCGAAGGGGCTGAGTATTTGGAAATTCTTACTAGAATAGTACGAAAAGTAATAAAAGACTCTAAATATGGCACCCTTTGTATTTAAGTAAGAGTTGGTGCTAAAACTGTTAAATAAAAAATGAGGGTAATGGGAAGTATTATAGATGTACCAAAGGGTCTTTGGAAATTCGCAGTATAATTTTACGAAAAGTACTAAAATGTACTATACTTAGTACAATTTCGTATCATGTGAACGGTTAAAGCTATAAATTTGGAATGACAAACAAGGTTGAAGAGTAGAGTCGATGAAAGGAGGTAGTTGTGGAAGTGTGTACTCATGTATAGCATTTTCAGATTAAATGAAACCTTTTGCAATTCAAATGAATCTTTTTGCAGCGGGAATGAAACCTTTTGCAGTGGAATTGAAACCTTTTGCAGTGGAAATGAAACCTTTTGCAGCGGGAATGAAACCTTTTGCAACCGAAATGAAACCTTTTGCAACCGAAATGAAACCATTTGCAACCGAAATGCAACTTTTTGCAAATCAAATGAAACTTTTAAATTTATAGAAGGAAAAAAAACAAAACATTTTTATTTTTAGTAGGTTTAAAATTAAATAAACTAATTATAACTAATATATAGTTAAAGAGGAATTTTTATTGATTATTAATAACTATGTTTTTATAAATTTTTTTCTTAATCTTCCATAAAACACAAGTGTAGATGCAGAAAGATTGAAAAAAGTTTTTCAAGGTATTTTTTTCAAAGGACCCGAATTAGGTACCTTTTTATAATCTCCTCCATGGAAAGGAGGATATATTAAATTTGTCATTCGGTTTGTAACACCTCCAAATATTCGTCGTAGACCCCATAAAGTATATACAATCATGATCATAGTTGATTTAATGATTTCCACTTATCTGTCTATTGAAATCACGACTGATTTATCTCCATAATCAATAAAGCTGCGAAGCGGGAATCCTTTATTAGGAAAGATTAATAGAATACTATAACTATAAAAAATTGTGGTAAAGCTTAATTTCACATTTCAGTCCTGGCCATACCTATAAAGGCCAAAATATGTTTAAATTTCTCTTTTTAGCATTAAGCATTTGGAATTTAATAATATGGAAGCATTTTATATCAAATCAATAAAGAACCATTTTTTATTACAATAGTTGAAAATTTAAGAAATAATATAAATAAATGTAGATATTTATAACCAATAAAAAATCCTCTTTGTCAATATATTAGTTATAATTAATTGATTTAATTTAAAAACTACTTAAAATATAAATTTTTTGTTATTTTTCCTTCTATAAATTTAAAAGTTTCATTTGATTTGCAAAAAGTTTCATTTCGGTTGCAAATGGTTTCATTTCGGTTGCAAAAGGTTTCATTTCGGTTGCAAAAGGTTTCATTCCCACTGCAAAAGGTTTCATTTCCACTGCAAAAGGTTTCAATTCCACTGCAAAAGGTTTCATTCCCGCTGCAAAAAGATTCATTTGAATTGCAAAAGGTTTCATTTAATCTGAAAATGCTATATACGAGAAGTACTAAATTTAGTACAATTTGAATTTGGAGGAATGGATGGAGCTGGAATCCTGATATTTGAAATTAACATTAATGACATAGCGTAGGATTGGTATGTGGAGAAAGGTTTCGAAATTTGCACTGATGTTCCTGAAAATTACTAAATTGTACTAAATCTGATACCATTTCGATATGTGTGAAGCGATAGAGTTCCAATACTGAAAATTGTAAATAACATAACTATGGCATTGTAGGATTGGGGTTTGTAGTAAATTTTAGAAATGCGTACTCATGTGTGTTGAATAATTCATGCTTAAAAAATGGAGTAATATTTATTTTAATGTGGTACAACTTATATTTTTGTCATCCTGAAATTTGGATTTAAGATTACTGTGGGAGTGAAGGATTAAGGTATGTAGGAAGCTTTGGAAATTGGTACTTATGTGTATTAAATGGTACTAAATTTGGTACAAATTGGAATTGTGGTGAACCGATAGAGCTGGAATTCTGAAATTTTAAAATAAGATTTCTATGGGATTGTATGTTTGAGATATGGAGGTAGTTTTGGAATTTTGGAGTGTAGGATTGTGTTAAGTAGAAAGATTTGGAAATTCGTACTTAAGTGTACTAAATTTGGTACAATTTTATTTTGTGTGAACCGATGTGGCTGTAATCCTAAAAGTTGGAATTAAGATAACTGTTAAAGTGTAGGATTGGGTTATGTAGGATCTTTTGGAAATGCGTACTTAAGTGTACTAAATAGTACTATATTCGGTTCAATTTGATATTGGGTGAACAGCTAGTGCTTTAAATTTGAAATTTGGCATTAGAGTTGCTGTTAATGTGGAGTCTGAATGTATGGACTTGGTTTCGGAAATGTGTACTATGATTGTACGAAAAGTACTAAAAAGTATTACATTTGGTATTGGGTGAAGATTTCGAACTGGAATTCCGAAATTTGATATTAAGGTATCTAGTGATATTTGGGATTGATTGTACGAAATTATACTAAATTAGGTTTTGGGTGAAGGCATAGAGCTGGGATCTTCATAATCCTTATTGGGTCTGTGTTGGTATGTGAAATTGAGGTATGAAGGTGCTGGACATTACTAAAATTATACCTGAGGCACTAAATGTTACTAAATTTCGTATTGAGTGATGGGATAGATCGGGCCTCTTCGAATTTGATATAAATGTCACCTTTATTTTGAATAGTTGCGAGAAGGAGCTGGTTTTGGATATGCGTAATATAATAGTACTAAAAGGTACTAAATTTGGTAACAAGGGAAATTAAGGAGCAGCATTCCTGAAATTTTATATTAAAGTCACTGTTGGTATTTCTGGTACATACAGGGTGAGATGATAACACTGCAACCAACTTCAGACTGCTGTCATTTCAAAGTCACTCGCCCAACAGCTATTAAAATTATTCCCGTGATAGCTTATTATATTGTTTGCAAGCGTATTAAAGCATTTTGGTGAGAATTTTCCAGAAAAAAAGTTATTCGTGATGGAATTCAAGCGTGATAGTGTGATTTCTTTATATTTGGCTGGAAAACCACAAGTGGCTATAGTTAGAGCATTCCAGTATTTAAATGTGAATAAATCTTTTGTGTCTCGTACCATCGCTCGTTACCGTGATACTGATAGCGTAGCCCGACGTCAAGGCAATGGACGTAAGAAAACAGCAACATCAGCTGAAATGGTTCGAAAAGTAAAGAAGCGACATGATCATTTCGATCACGCCTCGCAGTGGCCGAATAATGACTCGTGAGTTGAACATATTGCAATATTTCATTCGTCAAACATTGAAAAATGATCTCGAGGTAAAGCCATTGAAATTCCAAAAAGTGCCAGGACTTACACCACAACAGAAAGAAAATAGACTCAAAAGAGCTAAAGAGTTGCTTCGCTTGGTCGAAAATGTTAAACTGCCGAATTTGGGTTTCTCCGATGAAAAAACATTCGTTGTCCAACAGTTTGTAAACAACAACAACAAAATGATCGTGTTTACTTGCCACAGAAGTCAGCTGAAAATGTGCACCTTCGGTTGGCCACCAGAACTCAAGCGCCGCACATGGTGGTGGTATGGGCCGCCATAACAGTCGATGGTCGCTCTCCGCTCGTACTAATCGACCGTGGCATCAGAAAAAATGCCGAATATTATTGCGAAAATATTCTGGAGGGTGTATTAAAGCCTTGGGCACGCAAACATTTTGGCCGCAGACCTTCGGACATTCCAACAGAACTCAGAACCATCGCACTCAGAACGCGCCACCCAAGAATGGTTAAAAAATGAGGTTCCTCGCTTCATTTCCAGCGCACAATTGCCACCAAAATCTCCGTATAC